AGCTGCTGTTCCTGGAAGTAGGAAAGTTTCAGTCATGTTGGTGTTGTTCACACTGTATATATAATAGTGTGTTTGACACTCAAGGTCAGAATTTGAAAGGTGTATATGCATTCTTGCATGACTTAAATTAAGAATAAAAATACTTAACAATGGATGTCCAAATCAGAGGTTGTGTGCAGAGAACCTGTCCTAATTGGATTTAGCTAAACTCAACCACTTTTTGCAGTGTGTATGTGGGATAACACTTTTTGCTCCCTTTTTAGCAGTTATATAATAGGCTACAGTTCAAAATCCTTGGGACACAGAGGTAGCAAGCACACTTGACATCATGCTTAACTAGGGTACATGTATATGTATATCTAGTCATTTTTGTATAGCACAGTTTGCAGTGAATCTAATCTCAAGTATTTTAAATAAATGAATATAGAAAAGCATAGTAATTATAACCCATATCACAATTCAGAATTTTTGTTTGTTTCTTTAGCTTGCACACAATAAAAGACAATGAAAAATTAAGCAGTCTAACTTGGGATTTTTGGGAGGAAGGAGAGAAAATGTACTTACAATTTATTTGAGTCTCACAACTTAAAACCATATTAATAGTGGTTTCCAGAGAAAATGGAGGACTCTCAGAAGCATTATATGATGTCTGTTTGAGTTATGTATTTAAATTTCAGACAGCGAAGAAAATGTTAAAATAACAATGCAAATGAATTTACAAGAAACAGGGAGGAAGTCTTAATTTTCATTTGTCTTCTGTGTTTGAGAAAACCTTAGATAAAGACTGCATAAGAAACTAAATTGTAACTAAATTTTATCAGGCAAGTATGCTATAGAGAACACTGTGTTAAATATGCAGAGTATCTATTCTTGCTCTATTGAACATTCTTGAGGAATGAGGTCAAAGGCTTGAGGTATAAAGGAAAACAAATCCATGCAAGCCAGTAAAGCGTGTGTCAGAATCTATTTCCACTCATTTACATAGGCATAAGTCAGTTCAGGATTAGTTGCTGTCTCTCAGCTGGGCACTTGAGTCTCCTGAAGGGAAGCTATACACACATATATAGTTACACGTGAATAGGTGAAGATTTACCCCAGCATTGCTCAGGTCCTTAACTCAAGTAATGTTTGGTTTTCTTCATTTAAATCTTGGTTTCTGGGATGGGCTGGGAATGAGGGGCTCAGTATGAGGCTTCCATGGGGAGAGAAGACAATCCCATCCCCCTCTCACTGCAGCAGATTGGGACCAAGTGAGAAGTGCCTGTCCATAGTTGCTGCAGCTCCAGCAGGCACAGCCAGTGGAGGGGTACATGTCCCTGGCGGGAGGACAGACACACAGAAACAGTCACACAAACAGACGCTCTCTGAAAAATATAGTAGATTGCTGTCCCTTTTTCCACCCCTGCCCGTGCTGGCCCAATGGGGTATAGCTGTCCCAGTCCACATCTCTGGCCCCTTGCTGGCTTCTGTGGTCATTCTATGGTATAACTCCCTTCTGCCAGACTCCTCCCTTTCCATTTTATGAGAAACAATCAAATTCCAGGCACGTCCCATTGTCCTGGCACAACCAAAACCTTTAAATTATAAGAGAAAGCTGCATACCGAATTTGGTGGTCCTGGCTCTTCTTGTTTAGAGGTGTTCTTGAACAAATGTACTCATGGATGGGCAGCTAGATAGATGCACATTTCTAGCATATATAGAAAGAAGATTAATAGGGTTTACCTTAACCTATTAAAATTATTCTGATTCTTTCCCCATTATGTTTATTGTTGCTGTTCACCCCATGATGTGCTTTACTCATTCATTTTGTTGATTACTGTGGTATTGTCAAAATATTGTGTTTAAAAAGCTTTAGTACATATCCGTTGGGGGGTAAGAGGACTGAAAGTTAAAACATTGTAACATTAGATAGCTTTGTAATTGAGATTTGAACAAAGCAAAGATGTAAGTGAATCTAATGAATATAAATTTAATTAGATTTACCAGATATTACTAAGCATTGTAATAAGCATTGTAACTGTAAGCATGATTCTGGGATGCATTAACAGGAGTGTTGTGAGCAACACATGGAAAGTCATTCTGCCGCTCTACTCTGTGCTGATTAGGCCTCAGTTAATTGTGTCCATTTCAAGAAAGATGTGGAGAAATTGGAAATATTCGGAGAAGAACAAAAAAAATGATTAAAGGTTTAGAAAATATGATCTGTGAGGGAAGACTGAAAGAACTTGGGTGTGTTTTTGTTTAGAGAATAGAAGACTGAGAGGGGACGTGATAGCAAGTTTCAAGTATCTAAAAGGGTGTCACGAGGAGGGAGAAAAATTGTTCTCCTTGTCCTCTGATGATAGGACAGGAAGCAGTGGGCTTAAACTGCAGCAACGGAGGTTTAGGTTGGACATTAGGAAAAACTTCCTGCTTGTCAGGGTGGTCAAATGCTGGAATAAAATGCCTAGGGAGGTTGTAGAACCTCCCTAGACAGTGATTGGTCCTTCCATGAGGGCAGGGGACTGGACTTGATGATCTCTCAAGGTCCCTTCCTGTTCTGGTTTGCTATGATTGTTACTAAAATCTAACTTCATCACCATTCTAGACATATTAGCATCATTTATTTAAATGCATATGGAGTTCTGGGAAGCAGTTGGTTGTAAAGCTGGTTTTCCTCTTAATTTTGTCCCAACGTTTTTGTGTTAATTCTGTGTTTTGTTGATCACTGATAAGGCCCTACCAAATTTACAGTCCATTTTGGTCAATTTCACAATTCATAGGATTTATAAAACTGTAAACTAAAGTGTGTCAGCAATTTAAATCTGAAATTCAGGAGTTGTAATTGTAGGAGTCCGACCCAAAAAGGAGTTTTGGGGAGGTGGAAAGGTTTTTGTGAGGAGGGGATGGTGGTATTGCAACCCTGCCTTCTGCGGGACTGCTTGCAGTAGCACTATCATCCGTGTTGGATGCCTGAAGAGAGGCACCTGCTTGTTGTGGGAGCCTAGGTGTGAAGGCAGAGTCACCAGCAGCAGCTCAGAAGAAGGGATAGTATTGTAAAGTATTGCTGCCCTTACTTCTGTACTGCTGCCTGCAGAGCTGGGCTCTGTCACCAGCTGCCATTCTCTGATCACTCAGTTCTGAAGGCAGCAGCACAGAAGTAAGAGTGGCATGGTATGGTGGTGTCATCTTCTGCACTGCTGCTGGGAGGGCACTGCTTTCAGAACCGGGAGTCTAGATAGCAGCTCTCTAGCCACTCAGCTCTAAAGGCAGCACAGAAGTAAGGATGGCAATACTGCAACACTCCTCAAATCACCTTATGAGTCCTCTGCAGCCACCTTTTGGGTCAGGACCCCTAATTTGAAAACTGCCAATCTTTCCTGCCCCTAAGAAATCTGTATCGTATATGGGAAAAGTACACAAGACCAAATTGCCAAAGGGGATGCCAGATTTCACTGTCCGTGACATGTTTTTCATGGCTGTGAATTTGTTAGGACACTACTAATTGGTTATGTATTGTTTCCCTTTAAGAAACTAGGGACTTGTCTATACATGTGGCTTGTGCACAGGCAAGCCAAGCGGTGACTTGACAGCACACTAGCCTGCTTCACAGTAACTCACCATATAGACACTGCTACCGTGCACTGGAATTCCCAGCACAGTTCAGAGTACTTTACAGTGCACCAGCTTGCCATGGAGTCATACCCTGGATTGCCATGTAGACAAGCCTTAATGTAAAATTGATAGGAAAATCGATAGGAAAATTGTTGTTCTTGGGGTTGTGATAAAACAAGAAATAGGCTTTTTGTTTAAACAGACGGTAAAATTCCCTGAGGAGTGATTTGTGTCTTCCTGTGGTCAACAACTGTTTTTGTAGGACATGCTGTAAAGAATGATTAGTAAACCCTGATCATTCTCAGTCATTTTCCTACTGAGTCTGACCAGTTCATGTAATGGCTGACTGTAAATGTTGAATTGGACCAGGGAGAGAAGTGATCCTTCTGGATCTCCAGAAATGAGGGCCCTAATTATGGAAGTGCAGTTTCCCATTGGCACCCATTTTAGTGCAGTGACCCTATTACCTTTCTCAGGTGAGACAGCAGTGTCATATGGGCGACAGTGTTGAGTGCCGCAGAGAAGTCCAGGAGAATGAGTGGATATCTGTCCTATATCCATTGACAACAGGGGATCATCCATCAGTGACACTAAAGCAGTTTGAGCTGCTTGAGCTGATCTTTGATCTATATGGTGCTGGGATATTGGATTTAATTAGAACCTGACTTTAAAAATAAAACATTTTAAACCTAAATTATACTAATGCAGTTATTTTCCTTTCTTATTCAACAATCTTCCCATTTTTTATGTTCATGTAAATCTGACTGTGATCTCTGTAAACAAAGAGCAATTATTTCATTAACTTATGATCTTAAGTACTAATATTGCCTTGGATTAGCACAAGCATAGTTTTTCTGTTAGTGAATATTGTGCAACAGTGGCAGCATTAGAGACTAATGTCTTCTCTTCGTTCATATCACAGGCCACAGGAATATGTTTTAATTGTTGACTGGGAATTGTGCTGAACCATATTGAAGATAGGCTATTTTATGAATCTTTTTTTAAATATTTTTGTTTTAATTTCTCTCTGTACACTTAGATATGATTCATAACAAATACCTATCTAGTTCTTGCCACCTTAATTAAAGATGTCTGACATGAGCATTAATGTGTAATCCAGTAAAAGGCTGTTCCAACATTTTGGAATTATGAATAGGTAGCATGAGTCATAATAAGAACTTGATGTATTTTCTAACTTGCTCACCTTTTTGTACTCTAGCCTTGATGGACAATAATTGCACACAATTTTAAAGCTGTAACTACTCAATTGAATGATATTAACCTAAGTGTGTACTTTATTATTTGGTTGCCTGCCAACCACAATTTGATGTGGTCTGGCTTGATGAAGTGACAGCAACACAAGCTTTTATAAATACAATTTGAAATTGGAATCTTTTTTTCTTAGAGGAAGATGTGGAATTACAAGAAGCTATCAAACGAAGCCTAGAGGAAATGTAAATGAAGCTACTCCTGTATGCTAATAACATTCTATCAAAGCTGCTTACAGAAGAGGAAATTTTTTCATCCATTAACAAAGGGTCAGAAAATGCTGCTTGCAAAATTTGTTTATTCCTTTAATTATTAAACTTGTAACCTAGTATGTTGTTGATAGCGCAACTAAATTGACTAATGAATCTTATGAATCTGTCACAACATACTGTATATAAGAGAGGAAAATAATTAAAAGCCTTACATTCCTTTTCTTATGATTCATGATTGACTTCAAAGTCAGCTCTTGCTCTAATCTAGTCCTATAAATTAAGATAGGTTGATCTTATAAATGTTGTGGTATGTCTTTAAAGGGTCTTTCATTTAATTTTTCCATTGTAAAAATGTCATTGTCTCATTTTACTTTTTCAGTGTATTCTTTGCAACAGATAAAAATAGTAAACCTCAGTTAATTTCAGATCACCTTGCCTTACTCATCATTTTATAAAGGAAGCTTAGTTCCCAGGCCTGCAAATTATGATTCATGGGTTCACCCCTATGCCTGCACAAAGCTTCACTCCACATGAGGGCAGAGGAATGCCCACATGTTGTAAATTACAGGTTCAGTGACTTGGAATGTACAGTTGTTTACTGCTATCTTTACTTTTATTTTTTATAAATGTGCATATTTTAATTTGAATGTGAGAACTTGTTATGATAGTTGGTTTAAAAATCTAATCAGCTGTATTCCCGGTCTTGTTTAAGACTGAAGCGAAGTTTGTAAATAAAAACACTGAAGCAAAAATTGCTTGCAAAATCCCTTTTTCTTTGAGGTATAAGTGAAATAATTTAAGCAGGCAAGTCCTTCTTGTATTCCATCCTCCTTATACTATGCATTTTTTTTGTTTCAATGCTTAATTATAATTAAAAATATTTTTTTTTGTGTGCTGTCCTTAATTTTTTTTTAAGAGACATACCTTTAGCTTTTCTTTCTTTCAATCCCCTCCTTTCCTGCACAAACACACACAAAGCCTATGCATGAAAGCTAGCTTTACTCAGTTTATTTAGTTTCTGTTGATTTATAGATGAAGGAAAGATTAGTGGAATAAAATATCATATCAGCATTTGATTTTTGTGTAAGTGGTTGGCAGCTTGTCTGTAACTGGTATAAGTCTAAAGTATATCGTGTACAGACATATATTTTCTCTAAAAGTGAGCCAGATGTACTAAAAATAAATACAAAATTTTACTGAATGTAAATCCTTACAAAAAGTAAAAATAAGACACAGCTATAATTACTTAAACTTTAGAGTTACACTATGAAACTGGAATATAGATTTTTGTGTTTGATATTTGCTATCCCTATTGTAAATAAAACTAACCTGAAGCTATTCATCTAGCGAATCTAGTGAGAAATCTCCTATATCTTTAGCAATCACACAAGTAACTGAATGATGCAACTTCTTTGCATCCTGGTAAACATTTTAGAAAGGGCTTTCAGATTTTTTTTTTTATTTACTTACAACAGCAATTAATATGACAATCGTGTTAGTAGAACATTTCTACTCCATTACCCCTTTATGAGGACAGGAGAAGTAAGATAAATATTTTACTATAGTTGTGTTTAAACTTTGTACTTACAGCCCCCATGTCAGGGAAGTGCCATGTGAGTATTGAAGCTGGTTTGGGACACTGTTGTTCAAACTCCTGAATACTAGCTTAGACACCAGAAGAACAAATTATCGTACTAAACAAGCTTTCCTAATGAAATATATTCAAATGAGGTCTTTCCCAAAGAGCTTTTTCAAATTAAAAAGATAATGGTTTGTAAAAGTATTCTAGGCTTAAAATCCCATTCTAATCACAGGTCTTGTTTACAGTTGAAGACTGTAAAAAAAAAATTAGTGACTCCTGATGTTTTGTAAATGCACATTTGCCCTGGTGAGTTTTAACTTAGTTCTGTGACTTTAAAATCTTGCCACTGGTTCTTTACCTTTTGGTGCTCAATTTTGGTTTCAGGCGCACTTTTCTTTAGTCTTGCACATTTCTCTGTCTTCCAGATGCAAAGAGAAAATAAGAAGCCAAATAAGTCCATATAAGTGTTATAGAACTTATGGCCCCTAAAGCTTGGTCCCTCTCTGGCTGCTTTTGTAAAGATTAAATTAAGCTACTGCTTTTTCCTCTGGGATCTTGTTTTAAACTGTGAGTTATTTGCATCATGTAATAGCTGTGTAGACTAGGTACAAATAAGGTTAATTGTTAACTTTTTAAAATGCTCAGAAATAAGTCCTATAGCTACCTATAAGAATCTCATCCAATTGCAGTCTGAGGGGAAACCCCTATAGATGTCTCTGTGGTAAATACTGTGCAACGTGTAGGCCCATCTGATCTTTACCGTATATGGTTAAGTTTATAGAACTAATGAGGTCACAACATATTTTCTTTCATACAAGGAAAGTCTTCCATCACCCTTGCATGCTATCTGAGAAATATTTACAATAGCTGCTATCATTTCATGATGGGCTGAATCTCTGTTTTATAATTAATTGAATATAGAAGCAAAACAAATGCAGTTGAACCTGAAAGTAAGGTCCATTTTCACTAAGAGATTCTCTACACAAATAGTTATTGTGCATTTATGACAGCTGTGCCCTACAGAAACAGGTTATGCAGTAACTATACCTACAGTTCCAAAACACGCTTTGATCTGGTTCTGTTTCAAATTGGGCTCAAGTAAACTATCTAAAGGAACTTCTGGGATGTGTCTCAAGCCTCTACATAGCCTCGTACTGCATGGCATGCTGGTGTGGGATCGATCGAATCTCTAGGATACCACAAACAAACTTCATATTGACAAGTTCTAAGTTAATCAAGAAAGCCTGATATTAATCTACTTTTCCTTCACATTTTTTAGCTGATCTTATTTGTTTAAAAAAATTACTCTTGCTGGAATTAAAATTCCATTATAACGTACTGGTTAAATTCAGTGATGGTGAAAGTGTTAGAAAACGGATGAAAAAGGGTGTGTTTTACACTAGTTTGGAAAACTGTGGACATAAAGGAGCCCTTAAAGCAGTGAAGGCACCGCTGGAGAAACTAAATGAATTTTTTGCATCAGGTTTAGCTGAAAAGGTTGTGAGAGTGATCCTTCTCACACCTGAGCCATTCTTTGTAGGTGACAGCTCTAAGGAACTGTCCCACTCTGTGGTGTTAATAGATGTGGTTTTGGAACAAATTTATAAACTAAACAGTAATAAGTCACCAATGCCAGATGGCATAACAAGCAAGAGTTCTGAAGAATCTCAAATTTTAAATTACACAACTACTACTGGGGAATGTAATCTGTCATTTAAATCTGCTTCATACTGGATGACTAGAGGATAATTAATGTGACACTAGTTTTTAAAAAGGGCTCCAGAGGCAGTCTTGGCAATTAGATTATTAAGCCTAACTTCAGTATTTGGAAAACTGATTGAAACTGTAGTAAAGAACAGAATGTTCAGAAACCTAGGTAAGCATAATTTACTGGGGAGGAATCAGCACGGGTTTCGTAAACAAAAATCAAGCCTCACCAGTCCATTAGAATTCTTTGAAGGGGGTCACAAATATGTGGCCAAGGGTGATCCAATAAATGTATCGGGGTAGCCATCTTAGTCTGGATCTGCAAAAGTGACAAGGAGTCCTGTAGCACCTTATAGACTAACAGATGTATTGGATCTAGTGGGCAAAGGTCCACTTTATCAGATGCATGTAGTGGAAATATCCAGAGGCAGGTATAAATATACAGGCCAGAATCAGGCTAGAGATAATTCAATCAGAGGTTAATTCAGTCAGGGTATGTCTACACTACCCCGCTAGTTCGAACCAGCGGGGGTAATGTAGTCATCCACAATTGCAAATGAAGCCCGGGATTTGAATTTCCCGGGCTTCATTTGCATGAAACCGGCCGGCGCCATTTTTAAATGCCGGCTAGTTCGAACCCCGTGCCGCGAGGCTACACGCGGCACGGAGTAGCTAGTTCGGATTAGGCTTCTAATCCGAACTATCTGTACTGCTCGTGGAATGAGGAGTAAAGCTAGTTCGGATTAGGAAGCCTAATCCGAACTAGCTACTCCGTGCCGCGTGTAGCCTCGCGGCACGGGGTCCGAACTAGCCGGCATTTAAAAATGGCGCCGGCCGGTTCATGCAAATGAAGCCCGGGAAATTCATATCCCGGGCTTCATTTGCAATTGCGGATGACTACATTACCCCCGCTAGTTCGAACTAGCGGGGTAGTGTAGACATATCCTCAGGGAGGATGAGGCCCACTTCTAGCAGGTGATCTGGAGGTGTAAATAGCAAGAGAGGAGAAGCTGCTTTTGTAGTTAGCAAGCCATTCACAGTCTTTGTTTAATCCTGAGCTGATGGTGTCAAAACTTGAAGATGAACTGTAGCTCAGCAGTTTCTCTTTGAAGTCTGGTCTTGAAGTTTTTTTGCTGCAGGATGGCTACCTTTAGATATGCTATTGTATGTCCAGGGAGACTGAAGTATTCTCCAACAGGTTTTTGTATATTGCCATTCCTAATATCGGATTTGTGTCCATTTATTTTTTTATGTAGGGACTGTCCAGTTTGGCCGATGTATGTAGCAGGGGGCATTGCCGGCACACGATGGAGTATATTACATTGGTAGATGTGAAGGTGAATGAACCAGTGATGGTGTTGCTGATCTGGTTAGGTCCTGTGATGGTGTTGCTGGTGCAGATATGTGGGCTGAGTTGTCATCAAGGTTTGTTGCATGGATTGGTTCTCTAATTCAGGAAAGTGAGTTACAAAGTGATCTCACTAAACAAGGTGACTGAACAATAAAATGGCAGATGATATTCAGTGTTGATAAATGCAAAGTAATTCAAATAAAAATGTAATTCCAATCATACAAAGCAAATGAAGGGGACTAAATTAGCTGTGACCACTCCAGAAAGAGACTTTGGACTCGTGGATAGCTCTGTAAAAACATCATCTTAATATGCGCTGGCATTCATAAAAGCTAACAATGATAGATGAGATCAAAAAAGTCATAATACCACTGTATAAATCCGGTATGCCCACAGCTGGAATACTGTTTGTCAGTCTGGTCACTCCATCTCAAAAAAGATATATTAGAAGTAGAAAAGGCACAGAAACGGGGAACAAAAATGATTTGGGGAATGGAAGAGCTTCAATATGAAAAGTGATTAAAAAGACTGGGATTTTTCAGCTTGGAAAAAAGACACTCCAGAGAGGGTATGATAGAGGTCTATAAAATTGTGACTTGTGTTGTAGAAAGTGAATGAGTAAGAATACTTTCTTATTCACATAACACAACAGCCTGGGGTCATTCAGTGAATAGGCTGCAGGTTTAAAACAAACTAAAGGGAAGTACTTTTTCACAAAACACACGGTCAATCTGTGGAACTCATTGCTGGTGAATGTTGTGCAGGCCAGAACTATAAAAGGTTAAAAAAAGAACTAGATATTTTACAGAAAATAGGTGCATCGATGGTGATTAATCAAGGTGGACAGAGATTCATCCCATGTTCTGAATGTCCTTAGCCTCTGCTTGCCAGAAGCCGGAGTGAATGACAGAATGGACCACTTGACGATTGGCTGTATTTTGTTATTTCTTTCTGAAGCGCCTGGCATTGGCCTCTTTCAGAAGATAGGATACTGGGCTAGAGGAACCATTGGTCTTACTCAGTATGGCTGTTCTTATGTTTTTAATGTGTGCGAAATGAGTAACTTATATGCTCAGTGGACAGGAAAATGTCAATATAATAACAGAGGTGGGAGGAATATGAGAGAGGATTTAAAAATACCCTCTGCACGTTGCTTTCCTTGTTAAAACATTTCCTTGGAATTCTGCAATGCACTGTACTTGGTAATACATCTTCAGTCTA